ACGTCTTCTCCTCCCTGGAGGATGGTAAGCTTTGGAATTTAATTCCTTGAACCTTCTTGTTTTTCATTTTGGTCATGTTTAAAATTCAAGATTTGTTGTTACATGCTTTTTTTTTCAGGCAAGAGAACACATGACATGGAGGAGTATAATTTCAGCCAATCTTCCCTGGAGCAGGTAGGTGTGATTAGAAGGGAGATAATTTATATCAAATTAATATCAAGGGATGTAGTGTATAAATACATTTGTGCTAGTGGGGATTTTCACTTCAAAAATCATGAATACTGTACTACTGTAGTATTTTTAGCTCACCTGAGCCGAAGGCTCAAGTGAGCTTTTCTGATAAAAATTTGTCCGTTGTCTGTCGTCGTTGTCGTCGTTGTTGTTGTAAACTTTTCACATTTTCATCTTCTTCTCAAGAACCACTGGGCCAATTTCAACCAAACTTGGCACAAAGTATCCTTGGGTGAAGGGGATTCAAGTTTGTTCAAATGAAGGGTCACGCCCTTTTCCAAGGGGAGATAATCATGAATTTGTTAAAAATTAATAACATTTTTAGGTCACCTGAGTAAACTCAGGTGACCTATTGCTATCTGTTTTCGTCCGTCGTCGTTCGTCGTACGTCGTACGTTGTACGTCGTACGTCGTTCGTAAACTTTTGAACATTTTCAGCTTCTTCTCTGCAACCACTGAACCAATTTCAACCAAATTTGGCACAAAGCATCTATGGGTGAAGGGGAACAAAAATTGTGAATTTCATGATCCCTGCCCCCCTGGGGCCTGAGGGGTGGGGCCAAAACCACTACAATTAATGCAATCTTTAAAAATCTTCTTCTTTACTCCTGGACATCAAGCAGTCAAACTGTTTGCATGATTGTAATCAGCATTGAGTCCTCTACCAAAATTGTGAAATTCATGGCCCTGGGGTCAGGGGTTTTAGTGCTAGGGCAGGGCTAAATAAGTAGGTAGTGATAATGCATTATTTCTTTGAAAATCTTCTTCTCTGCTCCTGGGTATTAAATAAACCAACTAAGTAGTTAGTTATGATGAGCAAGAGTGCTTCTACCAAAATTGTGAATTTTATGGCCCCAGGGTCAGGGGTTCTGGTGTTAGGGTGGGGCTCTATTGATTATATACAGTGAAAATACATGATTTCTTTGAAAATCTTCTTCTCTGCCCCTGGGTATCAAATAAACTAACTAAGTGCATAGTTATGATGAGCAAGAGTGCCTCTAACAAAATTACGAATTTTATGGTCCCAGGGTCAGGGGTTCTGGTAGGGGGGGGGGGGCTCTATAGATTATATAGTAAAAATACATGAATTCTTTGAAAATCTTCTTCTCTGCTCCTAGATATTTATAAATAAATTAACTAAGTGCATAGTTATGATGAGCATGAGTGCCTCTACCAAAATTGTGAATTTTATGGCCCTAGGGCCAAGAGTTCTGGTGTTAGGGGGGGGGGCTCTATTGATTGTATAGTGAAAATACACGATTTCTTTGAAAATCTTCTTCTATGCTCCTAGGTATTAAATAAACTAACTAAGTGCATAGTTATGATGAGCAAGAGTGCCTCTACCAAAATTGTGAATAATTTTATGGTCCCTGGGTCAAGGCTTCTGGTGTTGGGGGGGGGGGGCTCTATTGATTATATAGTAAAAATACATGAATTCTTTGAAAATCTTCTTCTCTGCTCCTAGATATTAAATAAACTAACAAAGTGCATAGTTAAGATGAGCAAGAGTGCCTCTACCAAAATTGTGAATTTTATGGTCCCAGGGTCAGGGGTTCTGGTGTTAGGGCGGGGCTCTATTGATTATATAGTAAAAATACATGAATTTTTTTAAATCTTCTTCTCTGCTCCTAGGTATTAAATAAACTAACTAAGTACATAGTTATGATGAGCAAGAGTGCCTCTACCAAAACTGTGAATTTTATGGTCCCAGGGTCAGGGGTTCGGGGGGGGGGGGGAGGGGGCTCTATTGATTATATAGTGAATATACATTATATCTTTGAAATATTTTCTTCTCTGTCACTGGGTATGAAGCAGATGAACTACCTAAATAGTTATGGTGAGCAAGGGCCCTTATCTTGCAAAATTTTGAATTTCAAGGCCCCAGGGTCAGGGGTGGGGGTGGGGCTCTACTTATATACTGAAAATGAATTAATTGTTTGAAATCTGCTCCCTTGTATTTATAAAACATTTATTTATTTTTTGATAAACAATTTTAACGGTGCCTTTTTAAAATTTGTGCAATGTGTGGACCTAGGGTCAGGGGTTTATTTCACAGTGTTAGGGGCATTACTGATTATTGCTGAATATTACTGATCAGTTGGAATGCATTTTTCCCCCTACCTTGCGTATGGGTATCAGTACCCTTGCGAGGTGATTATGAATAATTCATGAATTTCCTTGAATTTTTCATGCATTTTATTCATGAAATGTTCATGAAACGTTCATGAAGATCCTATGAACTTATTATTGGGCATATTTAAATCAATAAACCAACCTAAGCAACTGCTAAGTGTATTTTTATGATGATCAATGGTGCCTCTTTCAAAATTGTGAATGCCATATAGCATCTGGCTTAAAACATGAATCAAATTCAATAACTGGAAAGTTGTTGCAGAATGCTCAGGTGACCTATAAGGCCCGTGGGCCTCTTGTTAAAAAATCTTCTTCTCCAGAACCGCTGGGCCAGGAAAGATGAAACTCATGTGGAAGCATCCTCAGGTAGTGTAGATTCAAATTTGTTCAAACCATGACCCCCGGGGCAAGGGTGGGGCCAAAATGGCCGACCCAAGTTTTACATAGGAATATATAGGAAAAATCTTTAAAAATCTTCTTCTCCAGTACCACTGGGCCAGGAAATATGAAACTCATGTGGAATCATCCTCAGGTAGTGTGGATTCAAGTTTGTTCAAATCATGACCCCCGGGGCAAGGGTGGGGCCAAAATGGCCGACCCAAGTTTTACATAGGAATATATAGGAAAAATCTTTAAAAATCTTCTTCTCAAGAACCACTAGGACAGGAAAGATGAAACTCATGTGGAGTCATCCTCAGGTAGTGTAGATTCAAGTTTGTTCAAATCATGACCCCTGGGGCAAGGATGGGGCCAAAATGGCTGACCCAAGTTTTACATAGGAATATATAGGAAAAATCTTTAAAAATCTTCTTCTCCAGAACCACAGGGCCAGGAAAGATGAAACTCATGTGGAATCATCCTCAGGTAGTGCAGATTCAAGTTTGTTCAAATCATGACCCCCGGGGCTAGGGTGGGGCCAAAATGGCCGACCCAAGTTTTACATAGGAATATATAGGAAAAATCTTTAAAAATCTTCTTCTCCAGAACCACAGGGCCAGGAAAGATGAAACTCATGTGGAATCATCCTCAGGTAGTGTAGATCCAAGTTTGTTCAAATCATGACCCCCGTGGCTAGGGTGGGGCCAAAATGGCCGACCCAAGTTTTACATAGGGATATATAGGGAAACCTTTTAAAATCTTCTTTTCAAGTACTTCAAAGCTATGATTAGTGATATTTATATGGAATCATCCTCAGGTAGTGTAGATTCTAGTTTGTTCAAATGATGAACGCCTGGAGGGGGGGTGGAGTAAATTCAAGCCTGGTGTGCTCAGGTGAGCGCTGTGGCCCCTGGGCCTCTTGTTTTAAGTTTCGATCATTTAGTGATTTATTTAGAAATTTTCTAGTCAAAACAAAGCCAGAGTAAAAAAAAATTATAACTTAATACACATGTACCAATCAAGTATGAAATATACATTCATTTATATTTACCATTACGCAAGTTTCTCTCACGTTTTGTTTATGTATGTGTATTAGGTGTTCCTTGAGTTTGCTAAACGTCAGTTGGATGAAAACGCCACTGCACACGAGCGAGAGAATGAAACAAATGAACTCACACAATCCATACGGCGACGTACGACGTCCAAGGAGGCCAATGGAGAGAGTCCGTCACATACCACTATTTCTGTTCCGTTATAGTGGTCAAGGAATCCAAGTAATCATGTACTTTTGTTGTATTGAACTGGTATATTAATTGTTATGGTTTATATACTGTAGCCTAATGCTTTTTAAAAGCGAATCAGAAATATTAAAAAGAACATTCCCTGGTGGTGTCATTTAGGTGCTTTGAAACCTGAATCAGTTGGAATGCTTTAATAGTGCTGATATAAAATTGTTTTTTATTTATAAAGCCATCATTTTTAAATCCTACTTTTATCATTGATATGTGATACATGTACATAAATATTATATTGATTTCCATCCATTGGGTGTATTCTTGAATTATTATTTTTATCGTATTATTTATGTTGATGACAAAGTGTGATTTTTTTCTAGAGAAATAGTTTAATGAATTTTATCAGAATGTTATGCATGTATTCTTGAAATCCAGTAGCATTTATATTTGTGGATATAAACCTAAAGCCATACAGAACAAGTTTACAGAAATTAAAATTGTATTAATTGTATATATTTATGACCTATTTCCATTATCTGACGGAATATTAATTTTGTCAATTGACATCATTATTAATGCATCCATAAAAATTTTAAACAAATTTCACAATCAAACAAAATTTTCAATGTGGAGTGATTTAATTCGTCAAGGTATTTATTGGAATGAGTTTTAATTTACCCTAGAATGAAATTATGATAGTGTCAATGTTGTTTGAAAATGGAAAAAATAAATCTATCATCTTTCTTTACTTTGAGGAGGAGGGTTCGTTGTAATGACTTCTTCTGATTTTAAATAAACAATAAATACGGCTGGATGATTTCCAAATATGGAAGTCAAGAACGATAACTGAAAGTTGCTATAAATGTACATCATGAACACGTAATTATTTTTCTGTCCAATCAGACAACAGCATTTTTACACACTCCAAAACATATTTTAAAAGAACAGAAAGAAAACACATGCTTTTGTTTTTTTCCTCAAAAAGATCGTTTTAACAAAAAATCTTTAGAAGTAAGATGAAAACTTTTGAAGAATAATTAAGGTATTCCATACATATTTATTGTGAACAACCTTGACATTTTTATCTCGGTAAAGAAAAAAAAATAGTGCAGTATACAATGTAATCATTTATGGAGGAAGAAATCACATCAGCAAGTTCTTATCAAGTTCAATTATAACATATACCAGAAAATACTATATGTTTGTATTTTTTGTAAATATAATTTTGCTTAGCCATCCGATTTTCATTAATGATGCTTAAATTCCATGTGTATAGATCCACCTCACACGTACAAGTGTTTATCATATGGACTACATAATAGATTTAAAATATCATGGATTTCATGAGCGCGGAATATTAAGCTATGCAAACTTTCGACTTTGAATGGGCATAAGGAAAGGCGTGAAACGTGGAGAAAAGAGAATAATTATACACAAATGCGTTTTTATCCCAATATCTTACCTTGCACATACCAGAAACTGCATGGACGGTTTTGTCATAAACATTCAAAAAATAATTAAGACCATTATTCATTCAATAAGGTTTTTATGTCAGGCTCTAAAAACTGAAAATTTTCCGTATTTATATCAAATTTTTAAACTTATGGGATTGCTACCTCCTAGTGACAGATTTTTATTCCCACTTAAAACATTTTCTTGCGTTCAAGTCGTGTTTGTTCACGTTAGAATTGTCATAAATATAATATTATTCCTAAATATATGCATAAAATTTACCAAAAAAATTGTTCCAAAATAATCTTTTGAGCATAAAATGATAAAACCACTTGTTTTATTTATTTTCTTTTGGGTTTGTATATAAATGCTGTTATCTGATTGGTCAGAAAGACTTGCAACTTGTTTATTCTGTGTCTTAAAGCATTCATGGTTATCGCTCATGAATTCCTTTAAAATTATTTGGAAATCATCCAGACCTGTTAAATAGATATTGTAGTACTGCAATTATAACATTTAAGCCACAAAAATTGTTCGCTGTCATAATTTAGAAAAAAATAAACATGTATATCTAGTTTTTTTTGTTGTACATTACTTTGTCAAAGTCATATTAATGGATGGACTAATATATAATAAGCTTTCTCTTTGATCAGATTGTTTTCACTCAAATGCAATCTATTTTTAATTCCTGTATCAAGTTCTATTCTTTTATTTCTTTAATTGGTTTTATGTCTTGTTAAAAATAAAACTGCGGTGAAAAATGTACTATATATACCGGTATATGAATGTCTCAATTACAAAGAGTGTATTATTTTCTGCAAAAATTTACTCAGGTATTAAAGTAATCTATGTATATGATATATACATGTAGTAGCTAGGCCCTATTACATGTATGCATTAAGTGGTGCTTATTTCAGATAATTTTTCTGAAACTTTTTGCTTTCTTTTAGTGGCTGTTTTTACAGGTCGTATAACATTTGCTTAATATATTTTATTTACACTATATACATGTATATCATGACTGTTATGTGAAAGTATTAAATAGTACAATAAAAAATTAGTGTTTGAAAATATTCAATATGATTATAAGTTAAACTGAAAGCTATGAAATTGTTACTTCTCACCTTTCTGTGGTATCTATTAACTGCAAGTCTGATAGAACCTGGGCAACATGTACATGCAGCTATCATAAAGGTACAAATTAATGGGAAGATTCATTATCAGATTTGATAGCTACCTATGGATGGAGTCGAATTATAAACATTTAAATCACTGGAGTTGCTAATAGATATACCGGTATACAGAAGCAGATCAACGGATTTAATTTTTATTTTTACATCTGTCCAATACCTTCATGATGCAATAAACATTTGTCCATGGAGGAGGTTGGCATATGGCTCCAGATTTGGATATTTGACTAGGGTCTTTGTTGCATAATACAGATGGTTCCAAAATAGTGTGTTGACCATGGTTTAAATTTTCTCGCCTTTGTAAGGATCAACTTGAGAAGAGAGAAAAAATAAAATGCACGTTGCATTGGCTTTGGATATGTTTTCACCAGTTAAAATTACAAGGATTACTTCAAAGCAGTACCAGTCAAGGTGTATTACAGTAAAATGTAGTTATAGCAAAGACATTTACAATGTATAATGAACTGGCACTTACAACTATCAAGAGAGTAATTTTTATTCCCCCTGATTTCAAATATATGTAAAATGTAAACTGAAATGAGATGTAACAAATTAATTACAGTAAAACTTGGTTACAACGAAGTCACTGGGACCTATGAAATTACTTCGCTATATCCATAATTTGTTATATCTGTATAAGGAATTCATTAAATTTATATAGTTGGGGATCCAAGATAACTTCCCTATATCTGTAAATTAGCAATATATCCGGACGTGTTCTTGCTAAACGAATTTTACTGTACACTTATAACAAAGGAATTTGTCCTTGGCAGTTTGTTATTTTATGTAATTAGCATGCATTTATTAATAAATGTACATACTTAGTAATTTTAAATCTACAACACCGAAAAAAACGCACAAGGAGTCAGATTTGGTATTTTTATTTATATCTTTTACAAATAATTCTGTCACTGAAAAACTTGCACACTGTGAAATGATGACTACATCATTTTGTGTTTTTTCTCATTAATGCAGATTAAAATAAAACTTGAATATATTTATTAATTAAAAACATAATTTTGAGCATCACACAGGCTTTCAAATAAATATATAATTTTATACAGATGTTGATAAAAAGCCAATATCTGCAGATCATTATGAGAAAACTATAAAAATTAATCTATTTTCTGTAAGTACTTCTATGATAATGACAATAAAAATGAACCATTAACAACTGAACTGATATGAACAATAAAATAATTAATATGGATAAAATGTTTGGGAGAATGAACTTCCAATTGCACAGAAAATAAAATTGAACAAAACCATATTACAATATGACTGATTCGCATACATTGTACTAACTGAGGAAGGCATTTTGCAATACATCAAAAGGCCCTCTCATAAAATAATGGCACACACATAAACTATTGGTATCTGCAGTCCAAAATTTGTTGAACACTGACAATGATTTAGAATTTTTTTTTGTAAAATTGCAGATTTGAAGTTGGTTTTACATATAACAGAAAAAAAAATCTAGAGCAAAACAATGGTAGAAATTTTAATTCTAAAACAATTTAAACAAGCCAATGGATGACATGTAGTGGCAAAAACAAATGACATCATGAAATTTTGAAAGAATACCATGTAGCAGGTCATTCTAGTGAGGTGCTTTTTTTAAGCTTATTTTCAGAATTTGGAGGGGGCTCATTGTAAATTATGTTGTATATATATATATATATATATATATATATATATATATATATATATATATATATATATAATACATTGTATCAGAATCAGTAGAAATTGTTCTGCCCATTATACTACATCACCAAAGGTTTCAGATTTTGGGGTATCTTTAAGGTCCAAAATATATACAGTGTATGATGATTACAAGAAATAATTTTTTTTGTTGTTAAAACTATTGCATTTATTTTACAATTATGTCCTTGAGACTTCTAACCTGCTGGACCCTCTTTTTAAGAACTCTTGATCTGTCACTGTATAATTCGGGTTGATTCGTCTATAAACTAGCTGCCATTCAAGGATATGATTTAAAAATTAGATCTGAATATATAGATAGATAATTATGATTCCTACTTGTAAAACAAGTTTCATGAAGTTTTACATTCAGCTTTCTTCAAAATACAAACTAAGGGGATATCACTTATGGGAATTAAGGGTTCAGATTGCTAAATTTAGCACAAATAATTAAAAATAATATTTTTCATATATACATGTTGGTACTAAGGAAGGTAACTGATTATCTGATATGTAACCGTTGAACTTTGAGAAATCCAAGGGCTTCTGAATAGTTTGTTTAATATACCCTTCATGATGTAACATCTGGAAAAGAAAATCATTTTAAAATATAATTGGAATGTTTAGTAGTTGGGCTATAATTGATCCGATGCTTAAGCAAAATTAATCTAGTTAAAATGCACATGATGAAAAACTAATAAAATTTTAAAATATAAGTCTGAAAGGTCTCTGACAAGTAGAGCCCAAAATTATCACTGTCAGATATACGTTTAACACAATAAGCACATGAATATCACACATTCATAAAAAAAAAACTTGAGATACATGCATGTAAAATCATGATAACAATTGACTTAAAATTTCTAATCCCTGTGTCATAGTTACAAACACTAGGAAAGTTAAAAATTATACAGATGTAGAGAACTTGCAAAATATTCACTATGATAGTGAAATCCACCCAGAAAAAGAACATGTACTGCAAATCACAAAATTTTAACATCTTATTTTCGCAAGTCATATACATGTATTTGGTATTTATGAGTGAGACAAAATTTTCACAAATGCTGGTTTTTGCTGTATGTATTCAATACTTATAAATATATGTGCAAGAAAAACATTTTCAAGAGAAGATCGTATATTTACACAAATTAAAATATAGTTCTCACAATTAAAAAGTGATGTACAGTGCTTGTTAAATACATTAATCATTCTTACCAGGAAAAAAACGCACAGAAACTTATATAGGTATATATGTATAAATTTGATTATAAATCATCTGTGTTGGTGGCAAATCCTTGACAAATTTTACACAAACAAGAGCTAAATCAATAGTATAATCTTCTTTGATTGATCTAATTTGCAATACCGTATAAACAGAAATTTTAACGAGGATTTAATTTTGGCATTATTAGCGAGGGTGCTGAGATTGCTAAAATTTAATATCGCTAAAAATTAATTGCGTTTTATTTGTAAAAGCTTCTTTAGTGAACATTTAAAAGTCGCTAAAATTGCATCTCGCTAAAAATAAATTACCAGTTTTTAAGGTCAAATCGCTAAATTTGAGTCTCGCTAAAATTTCCACTTACAGGGTATTACAGCTAGCAGAAGGGGACATACATATTGGTGTAAATTACTTGTAAATTTCTCATATACACACTGAAACATATTGCACTAAAATTGCATTGTTCATGTTTTGATCTTTTATACAGTGACACTACAGTAGCTTTATATTGTGTCCTCAGAAAACTTTCTTAACAAGCTAAATAAACCCTAAAAAGCAATGCAAATTCATCACTTTGGATAAATGATAAAATCTGCTCTTAAAAATTGATAATGTTTTATAACTGATCAGCACAAATACTGTACTGAAAACGTACTCTTTTATTACCTATATTTATTCATCTGTAAAGTTGCAAACATGCCAAAATCTGTCATGTGCAGGTAAAAGTTGGTTCAAATAACAGCATAACAAGATAATTTTTTATCATCCCTTAATATATATACATGTTTTTAACAAAAAATATTTTAAGATATTTAATGCTTTGTAGTTTGATATTAATAGAATTTATTTCACAAGTGGGACAGGATTTCTTGTTATATTTTCATGAGTGCAAAAGCATTAGTATAAAAACAGTTTCTCAAAAGTAAAATCAATTTAGATATCGATTGCACAAAATATTGAATATTCTGTTTGTTACATTTTCTTCGATTTTCCCTTGCTTTGGCCTGTATGATCTTGTCACAGGCTGTACAGTCATAGTTGAGCAGTTGAGGCGTTGCGAGATCAAAAACATAAACATGGATTTCAGTGACAAAATGAGAGAGAATTTGGCAATTTTAGTCTCTGTCATGATGGTTTACATGTAGAGGTCAGGGGGAATTTTACACAATATTCTTAATAAAATGAAAGGAATATCTTCGAGTTTAATTTTCAAGCTTCTAATTATCCTTTCGCACTGTGACAGAATATCATTTTCAATAAATAAACTACAGTATTTCACTGTTGAACATGTGATAACATGTATAACTATGATTTTAGAAACACCAAGAGTACCGGTATGTACGACTGATACAGACTCTTAAATTTATAGATATAAATTGCTTAAAACTTAAATTTTGAGGGATTAAAATTTAAATACATGTTCATAGATACTATAATGCATCTTCTGTTTGAAAACAGAAAGAATCCAACCTGCTAAGCCTAGTATTTTGACGCCAGTTTAGGGCCAAAATGAAACCTTATCATAACTAGTTCTTCATGTTTTAAAAAAAGTTTTGGATTTTATAAAGATCATTGTGTCAATCTGCAAGAAAACAACACACACAAAAAAAAATTATCATTTGACCCGATTTTGTCCGATTACTGGCCGCTGAATAAAAGCAGCTTCTTTGCTTTCGTCATCTGAGTACTTTCTCATTTGTCTCTGCATGCATTTTCTTTTCATAGTCACGAATGTCCTCTATTGACATACCTAGAAAAACACCCCAAAAAAATCTTTTTCAGCAGGATATCTTGAATTACTTTTCAACATTTATAAACATGTCATAACCAATTAAAAATGTATATAACCTTAAATTCAATACATGTACTTTTATAAACATGCAAGTTCTTTTTTTATTTTTTAATCTATTCTCTCTTAAATTTTTACATTCAGAACCAATAAGAAGGACATATATGACCTTTTTAATTTGATATTTTAAGAACAAGTTCTATAATTCAAAAGTGACTTAAAAGTTTTCATTTAAAAAAAAAAACTGAGATTATTTATGAGATCATGCTGAGAAACTTTTCAGTTCAATTCCATTTAGATTGTATTTTAATACCATATTATGGTATTAATGACTTTAAATGGCTCTAGTTTACTTTCATTTGTAAATTCAAGTTTGTGCCTTTAATAATGTCTGTATATTTTATTTCATGCAACTATATATACAAAGGTTTTTTACTTCCTCTTTCATATGTCTGTAAAATATATAGGCAAAGTGGTTAAATAAAGAGTTCTCTCTCAGCTCAAAAAACAATAACAAATAAAAACAGTAGTCTTTGATGAGACTGTAGCTCCACTTGTTTGAACTTGTGGCAAAGGAAGAGAAAAGTTGTGGTTGGACTTGAAACTATATATATGCAACAGCAATAAATAAAATGATGATGACTCTTTGTTCAGTCTCTTTTTTTGTAGCAAGATCTATTGCAAATAAAGAAACAAAGTTGGGAGATTGAAAATCAAAAACTGATAAATGGAATTGTGAATCTTTAGGCCAATTTAGGATTAATCTGGCCAAAATTTTGGGAAAAGTAGCATTTTGAAAGTATTCTTCTGAAATAATTTTTAGTAACCATGGCAATACTGTTTACTGAAATCAAAAACCAATAATATATATAAATAGATTTATGTATCTAAAATTAGTGTAATTTACTTGTGTGCCAAGTATAATGAAATCAGATCAAAACTGTAGGAGGAGTAACATTTTAAAAATTTGTTTACAAATAGATAGGCAATTAGCTACAAATAACTAGACAGATGGACAATGGACACCTTACTATTGCATAAGCTATTCTGGTCAGCAGAGCTAAAAAATTGGTAAAATATTTTTGGTTGAATTGACCCTGAGACACTAACAAGGTCAAGAATGTTTTTCTATTAATTGCATGTGCTAGTATATATTTGTAGATCAGATCTACATTTTAATCAGATTGTGTGCTTTTAATTCTGGGAACAATTATAAACCCCTTTCAATTTGTCAACATGTCATAATTCAATCAGCAATTATGTAAATGTCAACTGTTTATTTCTACCGGCCCTGCCAATCTTTATGTCTATATTAATTTCATCAGAATTTAAACTAATACGTATACCTACCGAACCATTCGTCTATCCAGGTGAAGGCCTGTCTATGTCCCAGTAATAAGATCTCCCTGATACACTGTGAAATAAGACACGATTACTCAACAGCTGTTTATATACAATATTTATAAACATACACTTTAGATTCAGATAGTGTTTGTCAAACACAGACAATCTTCAGTTTAAGTTCTTAACCTACATACTGAGAAATATAACTTTCAAACTGGGACGTAATTATAAACATAATTTGAACCAAGTGCTTATATACCTTATGCATAATATTCAAAAGATAGACATTTTTTATTATAATTGTGCACCTTAAATAATTAAATTGTGTAATTTGCATAAAACTGTATAATTTAAACTGTTTGTAAAATATCTACAATATTGCAAAAAATAACTTACTCTGTGTGTGAATTCTTCTACCCTTGTTTGGAGTCCCCAAACCTCGAATTTTACTTTCACTGCTTTATACGAACACATTACAGGATTAACTATTTCCTACAAAAAAAAAATTAATTTAAATAAATTTTTGATTAGAAACTTTCAGAGGGAGATTGCACTTACAGATATTAAGTAAATCATTAATAAAACTTCAAGTTTTCCATGCAGATTTAATCAAGGGTGTATTGGAAATTACAACCTGGGATAAATGTTTGGATCTGGATAGTGAATTTATTTCTTATGAAACCAAACAATGTCACCTTTGTCCAATCAATGGTGTATAAAATCATTCATAAGATTTGCTATTTGCAATTACAATTTGATACATTGCATCTTGTTTATATAAGTTTTTTAATTGTCTATATCAATGAATTTAGTTCATTGTTGTCATAATATTTATACCCCTCGCTTAAAACTTCAGCTGGGTGTGCTGAAATTTAACCCAGCCACTTGTTCAAAACTTGTCTTCCAAGTTACATAAGCAATATTGATTACCTCTTCCGACCACTTCCTTCGTACACTTTGTTAATCGATAAAGAAATCAGTGTGACATAATTATACATACTAAGAAAAGCCATTAATGCCACAGATCAATAAACCTTTGCACTATAAAATATGACATAATCTATGACATAATCTTGCTTCAAACTGTCAAACATTGTTTTAGACTACAAAATTCTGAGTATTATGTAGCCTACCCTCCAGCCCTTTGAAAGTGGACCTCTTCCTGTTTTCTTGGAAACAAACTTTGTAGGATCCTGTTGGCATAAAAGAACAATTAAAATACAGTCAAACATGGTTATATCAAACATTCTTATAATGAATTGACGCTTACAGCAAAATGATTTTCATTCCCAGTGTCTTTAAAATATATTTTGAAGTTAAGGAATATAACTAAGGGCGAAACGATTACACGTGTAAACGGCGACGTTTCGATTATATGCTCTAAACGTTTACAGTTTGAGTAAACGTTTACACGAAGGTCATTATCAATGTCTATCAGAAATAAAGTTTAACACAAACAAATTGTTTTATTTCATAATTTACAAAAGAAACACCGTCTTTGACCAATCTAAACCGGAAACATATTAAATGAAAATATCTAAAACCCGATACGGGCTAACATAATTAATTTTGATTTCCGAGTTGCTAATACTAGCGATGTTTTACGACACTTGAAATATAAAACTTGATATATTTTGATTAAATAAATATAATACATTTTTCACAAGTCTTTGAAAAGTTTCAATACAGTCAGTAGGTCTTGTTTTACTTTTTTCGAGATTAAAAGATCCATCTTTACAATTATTTTTTCTACGTCCGGTAGCCAAACAAACCAAGCAGTTGGGTGACGAGGTCGTAAGTGAATGAATTTAATGCGCTTCAAATTCTTACGGTTAAATCACAATAACCAACAATAAATTTGTAATAACAACTCATACTTATATTAAAGTGAAAGAATTGATTATTAAAATTCGAGTTTCATGAGTAAGTAGCCATAAAAATCCAACATAGAATATCTCCCGTTTAAACGGTACGTTTCGTTTACTGCTATCCGTTTAAACGTTTACAAAATTCAGTAAACGTTTCACCCTTAAATATAACAGTAACATTTACAAAGAAACAAAATTATACACCACTGACACTGTTTTACTGTATTAGGGAAAATGAGTATTTATGACAGAAACCTCACCCAGGCCTTTCAAAAAGGACAAAAAATAAATGCATATACATGCAAGCTCTTCAAGATAAAATTTTCCTACGATACCCCCACTCACCTCAGCTTCTTTGTAATGTTTTTCTGAAATCTCATCATACGCTATATCTATCTCTTCTACTTTTCTCTCCTTCAAGTCAGAATCACTCAAGTTACACAACTGAAAACAGATGATAATTATTTTAAGGCATAATTTCATTAAATCAAAAAAAATTAATTTCATTCAATTTCTGCCTACAAATCTACAGGGTTTAAGATCATGCGCATATGGCACGCCAAATTCACAAAAATGAGATAATCATAGTTTCACAATCGATAAACTAGGTTTATCGGTTGTAAACTATAGTTTACAAACCGTAAACTATAGTTAACAATGTTAATCTATATTTCAAATCTGTAAACCATAGTTAACGCGATAATCTATGTTTCACAACCGTAAAATATACTTAACACCGAAAACAATCATTTGCGATTGCAAAACATAGATAATCTGATAAATACAGTTTCATGATTTGTAAACTATGGGCATAGTTTACAAACCATTAACTATAGTTAACGATCTGATAAATATAGTTTCACAATTTGTGAAACTATGATTAACAACTCTTAACTATAGTTTATGATTGTAAACTATAGTTTACAAACGTGAATCTATGTTTATCAACAAAATCTATTGTTAACGCTTTATTGATAAACTTTAATTAACATTCGTAAACTATAGTTAACAACCGTTAAATATAGTTTTACAGATGAAAATATACTTAACGAATCGTTAACTAAAGTTTACAGTTTGTAAACTATAGTTCACAGTCGATAAACCTAGTTTATCAATTGTGAAACTATGATTATCTCATTTTTGTGAATTTGGCGTGCCATATACGCAACGTAATTTGAACTTTTTTGGGTTCTTCCCTGGAGTTGATGAGTTCCACTAAATAAAGGACCTGTGTGCAATACTTTTAATGTCAATTTATGGATTTGCACACCTCTTCTAAAACTAATTTTGATGGAAAAAAATCTGGAATTTATGTTTCGTAATTTTTTAATATATTTCTTTGAATAATGCAAAAAATTTCATAATTTGATATCTACCAAAAACCCCTGGTAATGCATGCTGATTTTTTGTCTATGAATATCTGATGGCACAATAATCTTAAATTAAGAATATCTTGAAAAATTATCAGTAGGTAAAGTATGTTGCGTATGTCCTTAAGGCAAATATATTTTCATTTTAATGTAAAGTTAAAAAGGCTCTTATGAATGGTTGACAATGAAAAAATCTGCTTGCTGTAGCTATCTATATATAGATATACCTGTATTCCTTGACAAGTTCAAGCCAAAAATTATTGGGACACAGGAATTTTAGTTTGCATATCTAGCTCTGAGACACTTAATTAATTTCAAATTAAATTCATCAAAGAGCTCTGTACTAAAAGCTAGCAAACAAGAAGGGTATCAAAAATCTGCACACACAAAATTTTCCAACTATTACAGTTTTCCTTTTTACTGCTGAATAAAGTCAAAATAAAGGAATTTAAAGTTTTAAAATTGAGGGTTACACAAAACTAACCATAATTTATTAATATAATGACAACAGCTCGAAAGACACTGTCATTAATTTTTTAGTGTGAAAACCTATGGGTAGCATGTACATATATTGCATATATTGGACAATCCTAAATTATATAAACGTGTTGGAGTTCATCTGGGATTCCATATTACTCCGGGAATTATATTCCATCACACTGTGTCGGCAAATTAAGGTTTATGATTCTACGACAAAGAAGAATATGAATGATGAAAATGACCTCCCCATATTTACAGAAAATGGACAAAGCACTGCTCTAAATAATTTTATACAATTGATCTGCAAGGAAATGAGTGGATATTGGATACATTTGCTTTGGTACAGGATCAGTTGACCACAATTTATTCTGAGACACTGATCAAATTAGGCCAAAAATAGTCACTGGAAGGAAATCCATGAAAGGTCAAATCAAGACTTCATTGGAATGCCAAAAAGCCATATCAAAGATATTTATATCTGTGTCTTCATCAAAAAGTTTGTATTTGTAATAATAAAGTTCAACTGATTCTTATGCAACAAGTCTGAGAAACAAATAGATCAAAGAGTACATTATTCTGTACAGTGTTATTGAGCAATATTGTTGGACATTTAATTAATAAGTTAATCTGTTGTTAAATATCATTTATTATTATGTACATAAGAAAACTTAAATATATTTAAACAAATTTTAAGATCAATTACATATACTTGACCTACATTCTCACTGCAGCCATTGTCATCTGCATACTTTGTTTCAATGTAGATTGTAAATTTTGGCATGAAGGAACACTGAAAAGATAAAATTACAATGTTTAAAGGTTTTAGAGTAATGTCTCACTTAAATGCTGATCTGGCAAAATAAGTAAAATTTAAAATTATGTTAGCCTTGTAAAAACTTAAAATGAAAAGGTCTATAAATTTGCATTTATTTTGAAAATTAAAAAAATTAAAATGCATTGCACAGTCAATCTTTGCCAAAGTTACACTTACTGTGTATTCTGGAAGGATGACATCACATGAAAGAGAAAATTAATTTTAAAAAATTAGATTTTAGTTTCAACTTTCAGCTTCATAGATTAATTATTAATAAAAATCAGTTATCCAATTTTCAATACCTTCATAAATCTGGAGTGTATCAATATGAAGAATTAAAAAAAAAGTTAAAATTCTATACACAAAAAATTTTTCAAATGCTTCCCACTATATAATCATTCTAAAATCATTACAAGTCTAATACAGGTTCTGGTAAATGTAAAGTACTGACAAGTTCACTTGATAAATCTAAATAATCATAAGTTAACACAAAATTCATTCATTTTCAAAAGAGAGAAAACATTGTGTAAAAACCACGACAGTTTCTCCTCAGTTAAATGAAAATGCTGCACCAGAATCCAACAAGTCTGACACAATATAATTCATCATGCACTAGAGAACTATTAACCTCTAAATAACAGAAATGTGTTGTCGGTACAAAATCATTCAAAATCACATCTTAAAAGTACAATTTTCATGAATTTTGTCTAAAGTTATGTCTGCAATTTGAGCCATGTGTAAATCTGAGAGACAAAATGTCTTAAAAAGCAACTGAAAACAAGAAAAATCCCTTGCACTTTGCATCATCTTAAGAAAACCATCTCAGATTCTCCGTGTAAGTTTAAAAGAGGCTCTCTTTGTTAAAACATTAAGGATGGTTTGTGAAGAGCACCTGAGAGACACAGATTAACATGTACATAGAGTTCAGATTTTTTATAGCTTGATTACATTATCTTGTCTACAAAGTTAAAAGGTTTAAATGTAAACCATTTTAAAATCTGCAAGTTTTTACACACAACCCCCTTTTCTTTCAAAATGAAAATAGGATGTAATTTTTAGAGTGTTAATTACATATAACACAGATGTACAACAGATATTCTATAAAAGATATAATCAATACAGTATATTGTGATTTTTATTTTAAACTCTTGAAGCAATTAATATAAATCTGTTGCCACGTTGCCATAAACTGTCATTTTTCAGATTATTACCATCCATTTACTTGACCATTACATCCGATTTCTTACATAATACATCTAATTGCATGTGGACAAAGTAGTCCATAATGAACCAAATTTACCTGTTATAGTAAATGGATAGTAATTCCAGGCCTTTTCTGTTATGTAGAATATTTTTGGAATCATTTTCTGAATCCATGTTGGTAATCGACTGAAAAATACAATCAAAGCATTACATGCCATTTACAGAGCCATTATAAAACCTTATAATATCCATAAAATTTATAACAAATTGTAAAAATATCGCAGGGGATACCAAAAAGCTTCTGTATATCCATAAATTTCAAAAAAATATCTTCATACTAAACATGCTGAGCAACTTTGGAGAACAAGTCTTTTTTATTTAGAAGAATGACTAATACTGTACTATTAAGTGGTCATTGGATTTTAATTATCATACATGTACATCAATATTTAGCAACTTGTAAATATATGCACAAAATGTTAAACTCAAATGGGGAAAAAATGATAAAGGCTCTCATGTCGAGGTTTTTTCTAAAATTGACATATATTATGCTAAATAACTTTATAAAATATATGTACATGTTCAGTTATAATTATTTAAATCATGGTCCCTGCCCAGTAGGCAAATTCAAATTACTGTGCAACATAATTATGCAGTCTCGTGGCTCTTATATACTGGTCATTCATGTACAGTTGAACTTCAGTATCTCAAATACAGTACTGATCTCTCAAATACCATGGATATGTCAAAGAGTCGTTGACAATTGGATTTGAAAATCAAAACTACTTATTCTTTTAGTTTTTTCCCTCAATATTTTGAATCCTTTGATATCTCTGAAAAAGTTTATCTTCGTCCTATTGAGTTTGAGATAATGAGGTCTTACTGTATAACACAGTAAATGGATTTCTCTACAATTCATATATAAATTAATTCCATGTAAAAGTACATTGGTAAAATTCAATTGGTAGCCATAGCTTATATATAAATTTGAATTTTCATACTTTGTACTAACATGCATGCTCTAACTGAGAATCTAGTATATTTTAGAGGTGTCCATCCTGCTTTTCTCAGACCAGTTTTCTATTGTACATGTCAGATCTTCAGCTATCAAATTTGATTTACAGTAGACTGCTGCAAGATTTTACCATTCCATCAGGGTTTTTTTCTCTACTTTGTTCCAACTTTCTATATTAACTGCAAGATCTAATTATATCATAATGCAATCTAGTTTTTTTTTTTTTTTTGATTAACTCTATATACAGAAATTGGTCATTATCTTAGTTCCTTTCAAAAACATTATAAATAAACTTATTAATGAGATATTCTGATCGATATAGCTTAAGTTCAGTACTGAAGGAACCTTAATACATTACACAGTAAAGAGTTCTACTTCTGTAAAACTTTTAGATCTGCCCTTAGATCTAAAATAAAATACATGTAATTTGAAAATCTATAGGGCTTTCATTTTCATTTTGCAAACATTTCAAATTTCTGCAACATTTCTTAAGAGACAATAACTTAATGGAACATTTTCATTTCAAGCATTTTCCAAATATTAATTAATTACAATAAAAGCAACATTGATGTTTGTCAATATACAATTAAATAACAACATATCTTGAACACTGATAAAATATTTCGAAGTTGAATACCTTCGTCTTTATTGTTTAGATACATAAAAGTCATTTAAAGGCACCAAACTAGCTACTACAATCAAACCTGTTTTAAGAGGTCACTTGATATTTCTCAAAGTGTTTTACCCTTAATATGTTGAACCCTTGGATATCTCAGACTCAAAGTTTCTTTCCTCTGTCCCAATGAGTTCCAAATAATGAGGTTTGTCTGTATTTATTTTGTTGGGTTAATTTGAACATTTTTCCTCGGGGCATATGAACATTTGGCTTACACCATGGGGTTAACTTAATGCTTCATACAGAATTTTTTTTCAATGTCCAAAAATCATATCAATTAAATGTATCATTCATAAATATATTATACAGAGATAGTGTGATGCATTTTCGTCAAAAATATGTATGATTCATTTGTATTGACATCTAGTACATTACATAACAAACAATGGCCCTTTTGACATACAATTACAAAACTATAAGTTGATATTCTTAATATGACTTACATTTGTAAGAAATAATTACTATGTATTTATTTTCAGTTGTAAGAAATATAACATACACTTCCTATTTGTTTTGGAAAGTTACTATTGAGATTTTGAAAGATTGGTTTGATAAAGATAATTTCTTAAAGTGTAATATAAATACAATAATTTTTATTATAAATGGAATATTAGGGCTGGGCAATAATATCGATATTTCACTACTGTAAATCACGTTTTATTCACGAGAACTTAATTTTCGCGTAATTACGCGAGACAATGAGCTCGCGAAATTTTCATTCTCGCGTTTAAAAGTATTCCTTACGATTATATAGAGGGAAAACAACAATTTGTGAAAATTATGTCTCGCCAATAAAGAGTCAATGATTATCTCGCGAAAATAAGGTGTCACAATAATAATAATAATAATAATAATAATAATGATCTACAGTATATTGCGATACAATGACAAAAAATATTGTATCGCAATATGATTTTGTAATATCGATATATTGGCGATATACTTAGATTAAGGAATTTTGTCATTAAATATAAAAATGGACTTATGAAAGTTTGTTATTAAGCCAAAGAGTGAGTCAGAAGTTGCTTTGTGGGAACATTTCAGAGTATAACTTAAATGAAATCAACAAGATTTTTTTCAGTGTTGGTTACTTATGATCATAGTTATGTACATTCTGCATGTAAATTAAGTAAATATAGTAAGAAAATGCCATTTAAATTACAAGGAAAATATTGCAATACATATCGCAATACAGTTAAAAATATCGCAATATATCGCAATACGAAATCTTGGGCCAATACCCAGCACTATGGAATATGATCATCCTCTAGTACGTGCTTTTATGTCACAGAGTACCGGTATGTAGTTTCTTTTATTCATTATGTCGTTCCCCATGACATTTCTGTTTTTTTTTATCCTCAGTGGTAAATTGATCCCCTTAACAAAACTGCACCTTACTATAAGTTGATCTAATTGCTTTGGTAAATGTTCATTAACATAATATAATTTGCCAATGTATAAACCATTTCCCTCCTTAATAAATTAGTTTGTCTATATGAATGGGAAGCTAAACTATATTTATATAATCTGCCTCATACAAAAGATTTATTACCTAAAATTCTATATACATTGTAATTGTTAATTAATTAATGTAGAATTTGTCTATTAAGCTGCAGTCATTTCCATATCAGGAAGCAAATGTAAACAGCATAAAAAAACTATTCTGTACAAATATTGGCTAAGCCAAGAGATCGCATGTAACAAATGCCTCTGAGGCCTATTAGTGTTATCCAATTGAGGTCTCATCGAACATGAAAACATTATGGGATTGAAGTGTATTTTCCTGATCAAGACCCCTTTTTTTTCTTTTTTATTGAAAATGTCCCTGTATGATCAACATCTATTCTAGCTTTTCTATTTACTTCCTTTAAATATTCTCATCTTTTTGTATACAAAATAATTTATTTCCTCAAATGTAATTGCAAACTTTTTTTTTTTATAAATTAATGTATTATTTTTCCTTTTAAATTTATTTTTAATTCCTTTCAAATTTATCTTTAAAAACAAGCAGATGGGCTTTGTAACAAATAAATATACTGCCTCAAAATGCTATTGTATTTCCTTAAGTTTGTAATTTTCAAGAACTTTGTGCACAGTGTAATATTATATGCATGCACCAGTTAATCTTACGTTGTTGAATAAAATAGGAAGCACAGACGTACACCTACATGACACTCTTTGTAAAATTTTATGTCCCAATTATAGCTAATACATCCTGGTATTAAAGTCAAATCCCTGTAACATCAACTAATCTATCAGTAGCCTGCCTAATGGTTTATGAATTGGTTTGTTTTATAACCAGGAGCATGCTTTTGAGTATAGTGAATAAATTGGAAGACTAATGACAACATGTTCAACTTGGGTGATGATCTGTAAGAGCCAGCAAAAACATGCTAGTTTTATCAGACATTATAAATCTATAAAACTAAATTACGGTACATCATATCATTATCATCTAGTCCTAAAACAGGATTTCCCCACTTTGTTCCTCCTCCCACTCAGAATATAATGGAGCCATGTTTTATATTTAGACAGTATATTATTATATACTATGTTCTTAAAGTAGGACAAATGATGTTTTGTCATAAAGGAAACAAATCATGTACATCATGTACTAGCTGTCCTAAGAGTCGGAACTGATGTTTTATCAACAGAGTAATTTTTTCAAGGATACTGAAAAAGATAAATTTCCTAGAAAAAAGACAATAAAGTTTCAAATTTAACTTCCCCATGAAAAAACAGATCTACATTTATGTCATAAAATTATTTTTTATTCGACCTGCCTTCAATTTATGCAGGTCTTAAGGTGGATCGCCCACCCCACCTCACCCTACAAATATTATAAGCTAGCACTCCTTTAAATTTGAATCTTGTATCTGTCCCTGGTTTATCTAGATCTCCTCAGATCAAAATATTTCTTTAAAAAATAAAAGTTTCATTAAGTGCTAATTGTGTGTCATTACGGTACAGATTGTTTGCTGAAATTCATATCTTTGAAGAAAATTTTATACATGTATATATAGGCAAGTTTTTTTTTTTGATGTTGTGAAGAATGTTTATTTATTTCCTTGATGGGATTTAAATTTATAAGCCTTTAAAAAAACATTCAAGCAGCTGATGAATCATCATGTACAAACTGTTTCTTCCTCACACTACATCAAGCTAATGATTTAACACATTTAACATTTCCTTAATTAGACTTTGTGAATTAGGCTAAAATGACAAAAACAGAACAAGACATGACCAACTCTTGCAGTTAAAGTACATGTATCAAGTCCTCCTTCAGAATTAGATCCCCAGAAATGACAGAATTAGGTCAAGGAATTGAATTTCTTTGATGTGGTAAGAACTGAGACATGGATTACCTTTTGCAAGGGAGGGGGGTGTTCCAAACAATGAATGTGTATGTAATATTCATATGTTTTAAAAAAATGAAATAAATATGGCCTTCACCTACCTTGAGAGATGAACTCTTTTTTCTGTGAACTGTCCTTGACCGTGGACTGAATGTTCACAAATTTCATTTTTGACCACTTCCACACCTTCTCCTTTCTCACTCTGCTCATGACTGTGTTTTGCGATCATATAAAGTTGTCCGATGCGATACTACAAAAAAAGAATTAAATACGTATAATTTGTCACATTTAACCCATTAGACAAGATTAAATCTTATCAATTAATAATAGAATGGTAATTGAACAGTTCTAACCTGCCCAATGAAAGGTTACCTATCTGAGCATGATTATATCAATAAATGTTTGTAATGACTGAATGCTAAATATTTCTTGAACATGCAAAAATTTGATAACTTTCAATTGAAAATGCTAAGAATATATTTTTTTCTCTTTTAACATTGATAATTACAATAATTCAAAGATTACTAAGAGAATTTTGAATAACATTTTTGGAACACATTAGGGTTTAAACCATTTCTCTCATAACTCATCATAAATCTCTTTAAGTGCAAGACTAATACAATCAGAAACATCTTTCATTTACAATGTTGAATTTATATATATACATCTCTGTGATGAAAATATATATCATGGTAATTAATCATACCATATTATTAATGTTTACATTTATATATACCCTATTCTTTAAGTCATATTAGTTTAATGAAGTATCTGGAACTGTTTACAATTCTAAGCTTTGGCATTTGCATATATACTTCTTGCATTTCAATTGTTGCCTAATAACATCTTTTTAATTCAAATTTAACTATTATATAATATTGTTTGTGTTTGAATTTTTTAGGCTTGTGAAATGTAGGGCATATACTCTAAAGGACATTGACTGGATCTAACTTTTCTAGCTCAGTTTCTATATTGTTAAGCACATAAGATTTAACATTTAAAGGGGGAAGCTTTCCATGGTCTACCACATACAACTGTATTAAATTACTTTCTATCGTAAACAAGTAAAAAAAAAATAATAATAAGCTATTCAGTGTTTTTTTTTTCAACTTTTATAACAAGATCAACTAATCTTCATGAGGTCAAATTATAAGCTATTCAAGTAAAATAAAAAAAGATTTTATTTTATGTATATCTTTTATTAATTTATCTACATATTTTTTTATTTGTATGTTGTAAGATATATATACACAGCCTGATAAGACTCATACAACCTATGAACACAGATATGTACACTTCACTATCTGAGAAAGTAATATTTTATAAGCTTACTTAATATCAATGCATGCTAACTCAATCATAAATAAGAGTAGGATCTCACGGTTTTGTTATTTTGTTTATATTGTTCTCGCGAGATCAGGCTGGTCTGTGTAAACATAGTACCCCAGTAGACTTGCGATCACATTACCTATATCATGGATGAAAATGCATTTCAGACAGGAAAGTATTCGTTTCATATAGTTTTAGACGAAAAAAATGTCTGCCTTGCGTAAAATCACTTTTTGATACAAATATGAAATCTGATTACTGGTTTATGATTGCTACAAATAACTTGACAAAATGCCGTCTGCATAGACTGACAATTCAGTTATGAAAGACAAACTTTTGGAAAACAAGGCCAAGCCAATTTTATTTTGAAATCAGAACTATATTTTTAAAAAAAGAAAACAATGAATTCATCATATTTTGCATTAAAATCACAATGATTAAGTGTGTTGTTATACTTAAATTTTAATGATTTGTTGGTAATCATTTGCAATGAAATGTAATGTATTTTTCTTTTTTTTTTTGAAAATACTTTTTTCCCTTTTTTACTAAAAGTACTACACTGAATCTTTACACAGGAAATATTTCAATGCTTAGAATTTATGTTTTTTTTTCTTTTAAAATTTTCCACCATTTCTACTTTTTAAAACAAAATTCTTTCATTCTCTACTTACATTAAAAAGTACTAAAAATAATATTTAATAATGGTATTATATGTAAAAAAAAAAAAATAATAAAAAAAAATAAATAAAAAAATAAAATCAAATGCAGTTTGTATTAGCTTAACTATTGTTTATATTTATTGACTGGTCCCATAAAAAGACATCAGTCATTTTGTTCACGCCTATTGGTGTGTATATTGGAAGTTACGCCACAAGAAATTTTCAACAGTGACATAATTATTTCATAAAATGGGCTATCCTAATGGGGTGCCTTGTCAATATTGTCACCTGAAATACTGTTGCAGCACACAAGTTCTCTAAGTATGAATAGTAATTTCTCTGTCCTCATTGAATTGAGTAGTTATTTATGAAATTAAATGTTAAATTTACAACTATTGCCATCAATTAACATTATATTGCAAAAAAATAATCGAATTTCATTTCTTAAAAATTTGTTTTGCTTGGCCTTCCTGATTGCTTGCATATCAACGATGACGTAACCGTCGAAATTAGGACCCGGTAATGGCGGCGCCCATTGTTTATATGTCACTTTTTAACTCATCACCAATAAAGTAGATAATACGAATTGGATAAATCTTTACACAGAAAAGAATACAATTTGAATATGTTTACCGCTCAATTTATTTCAATGGATTCTTGTTTACATAAAATAAAATATTGCAACACATTGAAAGACCGTCGAAATATGGGCACACGAGGGTATAAATGGGAGTAGCTAGGATCTCATTTAATGATATTGTCGAAAGTCTGCATGTGACCTATTCCCTGTTTATCTTATTTGCCCCACTTTACATTAAATTCAATAACTTTGATTTAAATATCTATACTTCATAAGCGAAAGAAAATGAAAGAATTAATGCCGCCATAACTAAGGGTTATCTATCAGTATATCACATGTTTAAATGACCTTACAGGCACATGCACAACCTCTGCAACTGTCATTGGCATGCATATTTGTATTCCTTCAGCAACATCGTACACAGTCGTCTTGACGTTACAGAATGAATTGCAAGCTTCCTAAATCCATCTGAACTAATGTCATATAAAAATCAATATGCCCTGAAGAAGTTATTTACAGAAAAACACAGCAAAGCTTCTGCTACCTTGTTACACAGTTCGGAACACATCTGGAGTCCATTGGAAATTATTCTAAAAGCAGATATGGTAGCGTTTATGTTTCCGGATTAACGTATGTCAAGTATGAATGAAATAAAGGTCCAAAATAAAATGGGGAAAATATAATATGTATGTATTTATTTAAGCATCCGAATTAAAAATTTTAATTAATTTTACAAACTTAAAGAAACGTTCGTCTTATAATTATCTTACCCAAGGCCAAATCGGAATTTGTCTTTCTCGACTTTTCTCGTTATACACGAGATTGTGAGAAATCATGGCGGACACCGGCGATGAAAAACAACAAAAAATGGAAGTGGACTACAGCTCCACTGTAGATGAAAAATTGCCAAAATGTGAAAAGCTTGCAAAGGTAAAAACAGTTCTTCAAGTGTTTCACAATTTTACATTTGTCTAATCTAAGTTCTTCTAACCTTTTTGTTCAATTATTTTGAGCTATGCCTCGTGACAAAACAGCTTTGTCATACTTGCAAATAAGCATTTTTTCCGATCATATATGCTGAACTTTAATTTTGTTTATCAGATTCCTCAAAACAATCTTATATTTACTGAAAGGTAATTTAAATACTGTCAATTATGCCACAAAGATGGAGAATTTTTTTGATTAGCTCGAATTTCCTTTGGTTTGAATAAATTTGGTTGGCTAGCGGCCTATTGGCCATAAACCAGGTTTAGCCCAAGGAAAAATCATAGTAACCACGGACACGGCTAAATCAAAATTGTTCATTTTTGTGAAATGTAGCTTTATGAATACAATTTATACAATATATTATATATTACATTTTTACATACTGGTATGTTGACTGTTAGGGCAAGCACAGACGTTTCTTTAGTTTTTCAGTATTAGATCCATCTCATTAAATTGTAGCTGCAGAACTGTGGCTCTCTGCTTGAGAAAATTCAGACAGATGTAAAGCAGAGAGCTACAGATCCATGCATTGTAAAAGCCTTCAATTTGTTTGTCGCTTACTTCAGGTATTATTTCCTATATTTGATGTTTTCCCCAGCTTTATAAATAATATCAGATAATTAACGATTCATTTTAACTCTTATTCCTACATGTGAATGTTTATTTACCTAACGGTTCAAGAAGGGCCATTTGTGGAAGTGGACGTAAAAATAGGTATCTTTTAAACTGACATTCTAAATCCATAGAGAACTGTTTGGACCATTGAAGTATCAATGATTGGTGTAGAATATTTGATTAATTATCAGATACCATTTTAAGAGCGTAAAAAGGCATAAACTACAAGATATCTGAAAGGAGTGCAAAAAAATTGGATGCGTAAATCAAAGCTTTTTACAATGCATTGATCTGTAGTTCTCTGTTTCATCTGTCCATATTTTCTTAAGCAGAGAGCTACAGTTCTGCAGCTAATCGAATCATGCATGTGGCATTTTGCATATTCAGGACCCAACCTATTTACTGAAATCATGTCAGACAAGGTCTGAACAGTGCTGAATTTAATTGATGTTTAATCTACTACAGTGTATTTATCTGCATGGTCTTTTAAATCAAGAATATTTTATTTTTTGTTAAACATTGTTAGTGCAAGAATGTAGTTTGCAGCAAGATGCAATTCAAAAAGAATTGTTGGTCCATAGGTTACATATACTACAGAAAAAATTCATTTGATCAATGTGCAATGTCTGAATTTCTCTTTGCCCAGGCATATTTTTTATAGCTCACAGTACCTGTGGCTCTTTGCATTGATTGCTATTAAAACTGACAAATAATTGTAATCTGTCTTCTTTTTCAGCAAGGGAAGTTAACAGAGGCCCTTGAGACTTTATTGTCACTTGAAAAACAAACCAGAACTGTGAGTATTATAGTTACCAAATATGGTCCACTAATGTTAGGTTAAACAGTTTATTTACCAATATTAACATTTCATGTTATCTGTCTGTGTATCTGTTTCTCTGTACATGTACTTATTTTTAAAAAATCAGAACTATTCCTCTTAAAGTATTTTGTTCAAACTTAGTAAAATCTGATACACATTACACAAATCAGTTTAATAAGATTAAATTTGTATTTTATCCCTTTCATTCATTTGTTTTAGGCTTCTGATACACATTCCACAAGTCGTATTCTGGTCGCCGTAGTAAAAATGTGCTTTGAGGCCAAGAACTGGGATGCTTTGAATGAGAACATTATCTTACTCACCAAGAAAAGGGGACAGATCAAGCAGGTATGAGGTCAATAAATCAGCAAGAGGTCATCAGGGGAGCTTTTATTAATGCATCAATATTTTGTTTCATACAAATGTATTGTTTTTTTTTTTTTTAATGTTTCATTTTATTTTAGGCAGTGACAAAAATGATACAAGAGGCCTGTACATATGTAGACAAAACACCAAACCTAGACATAAAACTGAAACTCATAGATACTCTACGGACAGTAACAGCTGGGAAGGTAGGGTTAGGGCTTTGTTATTGTAATTTCATGGTTATTCAATATCACTTTCTTTTGCATAATTTGAAAATTTAACATCATAAATTGAATTGGAATAATTTATAGACCTGCAGATGTATGCTTATTAAGGGTAATGTTTAGCTAAAACATATGGGGTATAAAATGAATGATTTTATGTGATGCATGATTTTGTAGATATATGTAGAAATAGAAAGAGCCAGACTGACACGAACTCTAGCAAAAATCAAAGAGGATGCAGGAAAAATTGCTGAAGCAGCTACCATCTTACAAGAGCTGCAGGTACATAAAATTAAGAATAGAAGATCAGGGGAAATAAATGTGGGGGAAAAAATCTGGAATATGGGACACATTACAATTTTTGTTTCATACAAAAAACAGTATTTATTGATATTACAATTGTAATGAAAATTCAGGTTTAAAAATATTGACATTACTTTACAAATATCCTAATTTGCTGAAGCAAAAATACTTGTAATGAACATTTCCTTTTGTTGTTGGGTGGTAATGCTTTAGACTTGTAAAAAAAAAAATCAAAAGAATCTTTTTCAGGACCATTTGAGTTTACGGGTTACTTTGTTATGAGTTAACACATTAATATATTGCATTGTGTTAACATTTCTTGTACTCAGAAATTTTTAGCCATACTTCTGAATGATAATTTTAGGTGGAGACCTTTGGCTCTATGGAGAGGAAAGAGAAGATAGAGTTTATCCTAGAACAGATGAGGTTATGTCTGGCTAAAAAAGATTACATCCGGACACAGATCATCAGCAAGAAAATCAACACCAAATTCTTTGAAGATAAAAATACCACAGTAAGAAACACATACTATTACATGTAAATCAGAGGTTTCTGGTAGAGCAAGTGGATTCTTGAATGTTGTAAACTTCCTTGTAGAGTAACTGCAGTGTAGACTGTAAAATGGTAGATAAATAAGAGATAAAGTAACAATTTGTAATGTATGTTTCTTTTCCATTTTAATTCATGATCTTTATTAGAGTCAATTTTATGAAAAAATACAGAAAAAATTAGATGCCAATTGGCATAATTATTGCTATACATGTATATCTACCCACATCAAATTATAAGGTTCAAAAACCTTATTTGATTGAATATAATTTTGAAATATAGTACTTCCTGAATCCTATTACAGTTTGACTATGTTTTGTAGGAGCTGAAGTTGAAGTACTATCAGTTAATGATAGAGCTGGACGAGCATGAGGGCTCCTACCTGGCCATATGTAAACATTACAGGGCTGTGTACGAAACTTATGTGGAAGCATCCTTGGGTAGTGTAGATATTAAATTGTTAAAACTCCGGAAATCAAAGAGGATAAGGACAAAATGAGAGAGGTGAAAGCTGAAACTAATGTGGAAGCACTTGGGTAGTGTAGATTGTAAGTTTTAAAATAAAAAAGGGAAGGGGGTTGTTGGGCAACAATTTACAATAACAAGTTTTAATTCAAGAACCACTGGGCCAGGAAAACTGAAACTTATGTGGAAGCATCCTTGGGTAGTGTAGATATTAAATTGTTAAAATCATGACCCCTGGGGGTGGGGCGGGGCCACAATAGGGAATCCAAGTTTTACATAGAAATATGTAGAACAAATCTTTAAAAAATCTTCTTCTCAAGAACCACTGGGCCAGGAAAGCTGAAACTAATGTGGAAATAACTTCTGTTTTTCAAATAAACATTTACAATTACCCTTTAGTTAATAAACATACATACATATACACTGTAAATATGAATTAGCTATACTTCATTACCTGGTAAAAACAAAGATGTTCATGGTTTAAGTTTGATTCTAAAACTTGATGGTATGTATTACATTATGAGTGTTATTTTTAGGCACTACGATATGTGGTCCTGTATCTTATCCTGGCCCCATATGACAATGAACAATCTGATTTGATTCATCGAGTGAAAGAAGATAAACACTTAGAAGAAATCCCTGTGTACAAGTAAGTGAAAGCTTTTATTAGAGATATTGTAAAAATAATATTTCCAGTTTTTTTTTTTCTGTGTATGTTTTTTTTTCTTGATGGTGATTATAAACTTGAGTAAAAAATTTCAATGCTTTCAATTATGCATGACATTTCAGAGAGCTACTGAAGTGTTTCACGACGGCTGAGCTGATTAACTGGAAACAGTTGTGTACTACATATGAGAGTGAACTTAAGTTTGGTTCTGCCTCAAGTCCTGCTACTCATGTGTTCAATACAAAGTTAGAGGGTGGAGCAAAGAGGTGGACGGATCTCAAAAATAGGGTGGTGGAACATGTAAGTCATGCTCAAACACAGCATTTTTCTGTGCATTTTAATAATAGGTTTACAAATAAACGATCATTCTTAATCATGATAACATTTGGTGAGATACTTGTTAAATACATGTATTTATTTAATGTTAAGTCCAAAATTTTTGCAAAAAATTTTGTTTTTACATTGTGATTTTTTTTATATCAGAATATACGAGTGATGGCCAAGTACTACACAAGGATAAGGACAAAGCGAATGGCGGAACTTCTAGATCTG